AAAAAAAAAAAAACCCAAATCGTTAGATTTTGTGGGACGATGCGATGCTTTCGATCGTATCATCTTCTCCGGTCGTGAATTCAAGCTTCAATTTCCGAAACTCGCCGAAATCGCTGATTCCGATCATGTCGACGGCGTCTGGATTCAAAACCCTGACGGAGAATTTAACGGTGAGGGTGGATAGAGCAGAGAATCGCGAACTGAACGTGCCTCTGCTCTCGCCCTTCACTATCGCTTCGTCACGGCTTGAATCAGTCGGTAATGTCGCGATTCGGATCGAGCTTAGCGGTGGATGCGTCGGTTGGGGAGAAGCTCCGATTTTGCCGTCGGTGACTGCGGAGGATCAGCTTACGGCCATGGAAAAAGCGCGGGAAGCATGTGAGTTTCTGAGGGAGTTACCGGAGATGAAACTGGGTCATGTTCTTCATGAGATCGGCGATTTTCTCCCTGGCCATCAATTTTCCTCTGTAAGTCTGATGTTTTTCACTTAAGCTCTGGTTTCCAGTTGATGTATTGTCTCTTGTGAAATCTTCTCTTAATGTTGAAATGGATGAAGGTAAGAGCTGGGATGGAGATGGCGATGATCGATGCAGCAGCTAATAGTGTAGAAATGCCATTGTGGAAGCTATTTGGTGGAGCTTCAAGTACAATTACCACTGACATTACAGTTCGGTTCTAACCTAACCTTAGCCCTTACTGGTACAATTCCCTTTCATTTTCTGTGTGTGTTAGCAAGAAAAAATCGGAAATTTCATTACAGTCATTAGCAAACTATGAGCATTAGTTAGATTACATTTGTTAATTCTGCATTCCTGGTGTATATTATAAATGTGAAGGTTTGTTTGATTTTCACAGATGTGGATCTAAAGGATATTTGTTATGGTCTATGTTCAGATTCCGATAGTTTCTCCAGCCGAAGCTTCGGATTTGGCGCTAAAGTACAGGAAAGAAGGATTTGAAACCTTGAAGCTCAAGGTGGGGAAGAACCTTAAGGCTGACATAGAAGTTCTCCAGGCTATACGTGCAGTCCACCCTANTTNTTCCTTCATTTTGGATGCAAATGAGGGTTATAAAACAGAGGAAGCTGTTGAAGTTCTAGAAAGGCTTCACGGTAAAAAAAAAGATCTTTGAATCATTTTGTTGGTCTTCTTCTCAGATAGGTCTTGAACGCTAGAGGTTTCAGCCGACCTTAGTTTCTCGGTCAAAACCTGAAGTGTTGTGATTGTTTTGCCCAGAAATGAAGGTTACACCGGTTCTCTTTGAACAACCTGTCCATAGAGACAATTGGGAAGGTCTCAGTCATGTGACTCGAATTGCAAAGAACAGATTCGGAGTCTCTGTTGCAGCAGACGAGAGTTGTAGAGACTTGACTGATCTCAAGAAAATCATAAAAGGTGATATCGTTGATGTTGTTAACATCAAACTCGCCAAAACTGGAATCCTCGAGGCCCTTGAGTTAATTGAACTGGCTAGATCATCTGGCATTGAGCTTATGATAGGGGGAATGGTGGAGACTAGACTAGCAATGGGATTCTCCGGTCACCTTGCTGCAGGCATTGGGTGTTTCAGGTATTTAAACACCACATTTCTCGCTAATTTGACCATTATATAGTTCTAACAGGTTAAGAAGTAATACACAACAGATTCATCGACTTGGACACTCCACTTCTTCTTGCTGATGATCCCGTTCAAGGTGGCTACAAAGGTAATAACACTCTCTGTTTGCATTGTCATTGTTCAAACATTAACCCAAATGAATTCGGCTTGCGAAAAGCTTATCCTTAACCACAAATTGAATTGAAAATGAACAGAGTCTAATGCTTGCGGTTTTGTTGGCAGCATCGGGTGCTGTCTACGAGTTTACAGATGAAAGCGGTCACGGAGGATATCTTCAGTGGGATGATCTTGCCTGTTGAGTTTCATTCAGTCTACTTAGGTCCTTTTTCTGTAATTCATAGTGTAAAAGCCATTCTCGAGTTTGATGTTAATTTTGGGTTTGAAGAGGCATTAGACCTTTGTCCTGAGTTTTCAGTTTCTTTTAGATGAGTGAATCTAAAATCTACAAGTTCTGCTCCAAGGAGGTACAAAATAAATATAGGAGATTCGTTACATTGATTTTTGTCAGAAACACACAGAACAGGTCTAATCCACAGTGAATATATGAGCTTATAAATCACATCAAGTGCTTTTTGTTTTGATGACAAATTACTCTGCAGAAATCAGTTGTGGGAAATCTTGTGAAACTAGCTACCTGAGCTTGCGGTATTGAAACTTTTTCAGATTTTGGACTAAAATTATATTATTGTATGTGTAAATAAATAAATTAAAAGACAAATATACTAATTGGAAATGGAAAAGTGAATTCAATAGAGAAAACGTCAAAACTATAAATTGCTTTTCTTCGGGGAAAAAAGGAGTGAAAATTGGTAGGTGTGGGTGGTGTCAAGTGTGACTGGTGAGGCGTGAAAATCTCAATGGATGTAGATTTCTGGTAAAGGTCCAATTACATAATTGAACTA